AAAATCAAGTAAGTTCTCTTCTTTTTGTTTCGAAATTATTATTATTACATATATATATTCAGAAAAGAAAGGCAACATAAACGTATTCATCGCATGCCCTTGATTAGATATAATGAACTATTAAGGCACGTGGTTATGAATACTATAATGTTAGCTGAAATATGACGAAATATATATATAATTTTCAGTTTATTTTATATGAATAGATTTTCAGGATGAAAAATTGTTGTCAAAACATCGATTAATTTATTCAACAAAACTTCAGTTATTAATTGGATATGAATTGGTTAACAAAATGACACTATTGATTGCAAAAAACTATTCATTTTCATGTTTAATTTGTTACTAAATAATAGATAGTTACTTTTGTACATATAGTGTTTTATTTTTAAAATATATAATCAATAGAAGATTTAATAAAAGAAAAAAAAGAATTATTGAATCGGTTGTTGACTTCCAATAAATGCGTATCTTACATTTTTTTCTTGAGTTTTACACACAAGATACGACAAATTCTATTAAAAAACTACTTGATTGTATATTACAATTAGTTTAGCCTTTATACAAAACAAAATTTGAATAATACATATTGCTATAATTACATTTATGAACAGTCTAAATAATAATGATTATGAATATCATATCTAACAATAGAATTTGAACATAATTTAAATCAATGTATCTTTTGTAGTTAAACAAATTTCATAGTTTATTTTCTTGTTAACACATCATTTACAATTATTCGCTGAATTGCTTATACTATAAATAATCAATCAAGCTTCCTGTATAGATTTGAAAGAATGTTTGTACATTGCTTTCATTTAATAATAAAACATAATATATCAGCAGGCATGGATCGTTTTTCTGAGTACGCTTTTTTTTCAGGTAGCAAATATCTTGCTCTATCCAGAATATAAATATAACACGTTAAACTACATAGTATTGTCTGTGTGCTTTACTCCTTGAAAAAAACATGATATTTTTGAAAAAATTCTCCACTTCTGTTTGAATAGTTTATCTAGAAATAATTGTGTCAACAAAAGAAACTCACAAAAACAGTGTAGGAGAGAAGAGCTGAAAAAAAACATCGCTAATGTTAACACTTAATGATTAAACTGTTATATTCATGACAACGATACTCGGGCGTAATTATATGTGATATTTTTTCTTGTTTACGAAGACTCATATTTCACCTTCATAAGTATAAAAGGAAGTGAGTCATTCATTTTATATAGAAAGGAAGTACAAGAAAATATGCAACTTGGAAAAAAAACTTTATATGTGTATAATTAGTCATGTAATATTGTCTAGACGGTTTTTTCTAAATATCAGATCAGCCTGATTTTAGTCGAGTATGATGATTTTAATAGGAAGAATGACGAATAGATTAATTAAAATGGCGAAAGTCAGTATTTTTATTACTCATTCAATCTAATATTAGCAACAGTGGTGGATCTAGGATTTTGAAAGGGAGAGGCGATACCCAAGTAGGGGGAGACGATTTCGGCTAGAAACTATTTTTGAGCCCAACTGAAGTAGTGTGAACCTATTTTTTCGTTCATTTTTGCTGTAAAAAATCAAAAAAAATTTCTAAAGAGGTGGGCGACCGCTTTCTTAAATCCGCCACTAATAATGAAGTTTCCAAATATTTTATTTATTCTTGGTGAATACTTAAAACAATATCATGGTTAAAATAAGTTATAATATGTATGCAATAGATAAAACTTTCAAAATCAAAATTTCACAGGAGTATAAATGAATGAACTATTTTTCAGGAGTATAGGGAAATTCTAGAAAGGTTATTTAAGAGATTTACATTAGAATCAAGCATGTAGAAGAAGTTAGCAGACTATGTATATTTGTTTACGCGAGAAAAAAACTACAGATACACTCTACAATATTCATCTGAATAGATAGAAAGAATCAGGTATAAAATAAAGATTACATATTTGGATATTTTCAGAAACTAATAGTTTCCGAATGCAATCGAAAAGGTATCTTCATTGAGTACACACATTTACATCTTTCACCTGTTTCAATGTAATCTAACAGCCACTTTTCATTGATATATATGTATAATATGACTAAAATTATCAGACAATGATTACTACTATTCTTATTGTAAAAATAGCATTGTCTAAAAGAATTTTTATAATATCGTATTTTAAAATTAAAAGTTCATAAGTGTGTATTTTAGATATAAGGTTTTGTACAATATAATTCATGAAAATCATGATACTTGATACCCTGAGGTAAATATGACTTCACCTTTCCATCCATTTTCGATCATTGTATTTTTGCTACCTTTTTCCAAGTATAATATTTCGGTCGTATATATGACAATCAATCAAAATTTCATCTTTCGAAAGGATATTAACGTTTGTAACCAATTCCAATTTTGTTAGTTTTAACCATTTGCATACATCAAATTTTTCTTTTCTTGAATAAATAGATTCTTAATTCTCCTACAGTGATAATAGAGCCATTTGATGATTTTATATATAAATTCGAACAAATGCTTTGACGGTAGCACGACAGAGTGGACATGTTTTTAAACTATGACCACAAGCAACACAACTTGTTAGATGGCCACATGGTAAACAAGCTACTTGACGTTCCGTTGTCAGACAAAGTACGCATGGCATTGCTTCTTCATCTAAAACAAATATATAGAAAAATAAATTGAAAATTTTCTTTTTTAATAATCAAACCTGTTTTGATCACTACTTTAGGCTGCACTACAGTTGATTTGATAACTTTTGGAGTTTCTATAGTTTTAATTGGTAGTTGTATAATTTGTGGTTGAGGCTGCTGTTGATCGTAAATATATTTTTTCATCCAATCTTGAGGAGTAAGTATATAAGCAGCATCTCCCTTAATCAAATTCACCTGCAGATCAAGTATAAGACAAGCAAATCGAAGATCATTGTCAGTTTTAAAATCATCTTCTACAAAAAAAGAAGAAGAAGATATGAATTAGATGTTAAATTACGTTTCATTTTTGATCAACTTACTCTTAAATTTCAATTGAATTTCATATGCTTTTCTATAAGAAAAATAAACAAAATAAAATAGATTAATCAATACATTTCTAAAAGAAAATATTTACCGAATAACTGCCATAGTAAAACCTATTTGTCGAATTTTTTCAACAATCGGTAGATCGAGACGAGCTTTGACCATTCTATCAATTTCATCGGTTGTCCATAATGGAAGTTGTGAAGTTTGAACATGTATATTTTCTTCAGGATTTGATTGAGCTATATTTTATAGAAAAAAAATAGAAGATTATCTTTCAATATATTCTTATTATATACCTTTTAATTCACGATTTTTTCTTTGTATAGCTTGAAAAAGATCTTCGCCAATATATTGACGAATATATGAACACTCTGGAAACCATCGAGCATGTTCAACTTTTGGATCATCAGTAGGTGCCCAATGCTTCAATGATTTTTTACAATAAAAACATTTGACAATAGTTTGATCGCCTAGATAAGAAAGAAAAATCATATTCAAATTGATTATTTATTTTATTAATATATATTTTATATCTCACCTGTATAGAAAAATCCAGCATCAACAAACGATTCAATCGAAGGTAATGGATTTTCATTAGTATGTGGCCAATTTTTTTGAAAAGTTTCATATCGATGAATTGCTAATGAATACGTATTATTAGCTGTTTCAACAGCTGCTTGTGTATTTGGTTCAGTAGTTATTCTTATAGCAGAAGTCGATGTCTTTCCTTCTTTCTTTTCCAATGCTAGTACAAACTGACATTGAGGAGATTTCAATCGATGTATTTCATAGGGTCGATCTAATTCCGTCCATTTATGAAATATAGCATTGCAATGAGTGCATATAACTCGATCAGCTATACTCGTATATGACCATCCAGCGAGAAACATATCTTGTGCAGTTGGTGTAATTAATGGCCAATTTGAAAATGTATTAAAACGTATTTTATCAATTACTTCATTAGATAATGTTTTAAGAAATGATTTGTTTTGATTTTCATTACTCGCGTCATTATCATCATTTACCTGAGTTTGATGATTGACATTGTTAGTATCCATCTGTGAAATATCATTCGTTATCATTGATAATTTTTCATCTAAATAAATATTTAAAAAAATTAGATTGTAGTCAATTACAATAAATATAGAACATACAATTTTTTGGTGACAATTCGTTTCCAATTAAAGCAAATTCACATTGAGGATTTTGTTTCATATGTTCTTCAATAGGATGAATGACTGGTGCGCTTAAATCTACTTCGAAATTACATGCCTGACATTTTAGCTTATGTTCAGTCTCAATATAGTAGAGTCCAGCTTTAGCAAGAAGTCCTTTTGAAAGTGTTGGATAAAGATTTTCTTTCCATGAACGAAATGTACCCAGTCGATATAATTTCACTTTTATATTCTGTAAATTAGTAAACGTCGGTTCATTGGACATAGTTAAATTCTGAACATTGTTGCATACGGGAGTAAGTACAGCTGCCATTACAATTATGAAATTTTGGTAAGTTAATTGTGTTAGAATAGGTTGTATGTTCTAAATCAAATATTTTCAATTTATTGTTAAGCGATTCACTTTTTATACATCATTATCTGGAATAAATCCTTTTTCCCTCAGCTAAAAGGATGGTTTTCCCCTTATCGTTAACATAAATCACAAAAACGACATAAACAAGACACGTGGTTAGATTCCCTTAGAAAATAGTTGGATAATATTGATAGTATCAAAGGTGGTTATTACCATAAATCTACTATCGCCGGGTTCTTTCCTTGTTATTTTATTCTACACATGTGCTTCTACTCGTCATTACAAAAGAACGGAATAGAAAAAAACATGCAAACACGATGACTCATATTTTATAACGGTAAAAATTATTGTCTTTCTTCGAAAGGAATAAAGAAATAAATTTAGTAATCTGTGCTCTACAAGAAATACATTTTAATAAAATAAAACTAATCTCTCAGGTACATGTTGAATAATAATTAGTATTACTACCTATACAATACTTACAAATGGACTACACGGTCTTTAAAAGGTCAGTTCGACTTTGTGAAAAAAATAAACGATTTGCTTAAAATGACGGTATGTAGAGGTAGTTTTTATAGGCTACGATGAGTCATACGCATCATGATTGTTCCGGACTGAGTTACTAATACTACGTCACTATTACAGTTTTTTCTGGTATAAACTACATAATGATGACGATTCACGCTGATATTTCGTATAAATATATAAATATTTATCAATAGTGTTTTATATTTCACTTATATGGCGTATAAAATAGCGCTATTTCTATGGTAAAGTATATTTATTCGATTAATTGATTTTATTGTTTAGGTATAATATTGGTAAACGAAACAAATGTTTCTGTATTGATTTATAATTTATGTAAATTATTAGAAGGTAAAAACAATTTAACTAACTTTTAGATATTAAATTAATTTTATATAATAAATTCCGCAACTAAGGAAATATTTTACAAGTATAAAATCTTATGTAAATGACAATTTCATTGTACATAGTAATATATACTGCCTAACAAGAAATTTACTATCAAGGTAAGATAAGGAATGAAAGACAATCGAATAGTATGATTTTATATATGAACTATATTATAGTAAAAAGACTAAGAAATAAAAGTGATTTACAAAATTAATGGTGCGTATCTATAAAGAGTAGAAGAAAGAGATTATATATTTTCATTCGTATTAGTTAATACGTACTAAATAAATATTCAACTTAATTTGTGTACTCTAAATATACTTTTTTTAAGCGATGATGAAAAGTGCTAATAAAAATATAATGACTCATAATTATTTCCTATTTACGGGAAAGTTATCGAAATAGTCTGAAGAAAAAATGCAATTAATTGCAATTTTTTTTATTGCTTTATTCTATGAAATAAAAAAGACGATTTATGGTTTTATTGCAAATGAATAATAGATTCCAAAAGATCGGAAATTCTTCAATCTGAATACATTATAACTAGTTAAAAATAAAAGTAACTTACTATGACATGTAGCTGCGACGATAATGAAGGTTACTTACACCTTTTAACTTATTTTATAGTGCTATTCTCCACTTCCTTGGAAAGTAGTGTCATGATATTTCGTCGAAATTGGGTTTTATCATGAAGCATGATACAATCGACAAATGTCGCTGTAAAATATTCAATTTACATCATACCGTCAACATGTTTTTAGGCTTTAACCCTTTCGGGGCCGGTGACGTTTTAAAAAGTAATTAAAATTTTCAATGATCTGATGCATCAGACGTCGAATTTTTTTTGCGTTTCTTCGAAAGTACCGTTGCGTTTGATTATTTTTCACTTTCATGTTATTACCTTTGTTATAATCTATAAAGTCATAGATTATTCCTCTTTCTACCTTGTACACATTCTTTCTCTCTCTTGCTCATATGTATATATACCTGCTTTATGTTCTCGTTGAAGTCACTAAAGAGTTCACAGTTCGTGCTTCATCTATTTCATTCTACGTAAGGCGATCTTGAGGGTGTGGGTGGGTAATAAAAATAACAGTCACACTACTTTCTTTTGAGCGATTATTCGTGATTTGAACAACAAAACGTGAGTTAACTGTGGTTATGATGCTATAAATAGTTTCTAAAACTATAGTTACGCTTATTTGTATCAAAACGGAAAACAATACAGTATATCGGAACGACTTATTATCGAGATAAAGTGAAACGATATTTTGTTGTACGATTACAAATACTTTTAAACGTATTGTCAGTTCTGATGAAAGCTATGTTCTTTCTCGTAACAATGATCAAAACTTCATTCATCTAATTAATCGCCATCAAAAGATGTCGTATACATTGGTCTTCTATGGTCTAACAACTATAAAACAGTTTGAAAAATGAGAACATGAAATTACCTGCTTGACTGAATATGATTTGTAAGCAATTCGCCAATATAATATTCAGATGCCAACAGAAAGCAATAATAAAATACCAGTTTAAAATTAATAACCAATAGAAAACGTTTAACAAATGTTCTGTTTGTTTTAAACAATGCTTTCGATTAGTATACACAATGCTTATATAATTGCGACAGTGGGTTTTTTCCCTCTCAATCATTTCATCTCTCTGTGGGTAACTTGGATGTACTTTTTGAATAATAGAAGGGCTATTTAAACAATACTTTTATCACACGATAGATCCTACTGACCACACAAAAACAGATGTATCTGATGTTTATTATTTAAGCTCTATTCCAAACTAAGTACATATAGATATATCAATTAAATCTTGTCTAATACAAAGTTTTCAGATATATAGTATATGTTCAATAGTTCATCAGCATATTAACAAAGTAATATAAGAAATTAGTTTATTGTCAAAAATATTCGAGAAGACGAAATAAAAACATTTTTTTTGTCATTCAAGTTATTAAACATAATTCTATATTGCTTAAGTCTAGTGCAATATAGATAAAAAAAATAACTTGCGAAAGTCATAAAATAAAAATACCCAGTCATTAATAGTAAACAGATGTTTACAGGGAAAAAATGTTTCATATATGGCATACGAGAAAAATCTTACGACTAATTATTTTTTATAAGATTTACTCATATATCAAGAGGTTTTAATATAATACATTTAATTTTTATATAAATTAGCAATTATTGATTGATCATACGTTTTATTTTGGATATGTTAGCGTCCAAATTAAGATTATATCTAATGTCGGATTGTGGAAAAAAGTATCATCAAAACTTCAATTTCCTACGGGATCTACTTTGATGAGTTTAAAACCATCCAATATATACAAGCGTCATCTGATCAATTAAACTTGAATCGGTGGTAATGTTATAAACAGTTTTATATACGAGATTAGATTTTGTGGAAAACTGCTCATAACTCTCTGACTTTGACATCAACCTTTCTATCGCTGATTGTAAGACTAGTGAAGCTATGGTCTCAATATAGTTTACAAACAAGAATTAGAATGTGAATCAGTAGGTTTCATCAATATTTTATTCAATAATCATTTATTTTGAAAGATGAATGTAATGAACAACAGCGCTGTTTTCGAATAATGAGAGATTATAAAAAGAGCGTCTCAAATTGTACCACAGTAAACAGTAATGTTTTAATTACAATTCCTATTAAGATATAAGAAAAATAGGTCTTTCCTATAAATGAGATTACTAATAGCTTGAACTAAAATAAGAAGATAATTCACGCATATTTTCTTTTAAGTGGGAAAAAGTATGAAATACATTTGCTCCCATATTGGGTCAAAGTATAAATAAGTTTCCCAGAGTAGACACATCGGCATCTTGTCAGAATATATATGTTACAGTTGACATGAGAATTCAGTTGAGTTTGGAATGCACGAAATAATTAAAACAAAAAAATATCGAAAAAGTTTTTTCTATTAAAATAATATAGATTATTTGTATAGTAGCTTTTAGAAAAAAACATACACTAAAAATAACGACTAAAAATTTAGACGAACTCATTGTATCATATATTTATTTATTCGACGTTTGGTATTATAAAGATATAGAATAATTGGTTGCCTCATAATATATTATTACATAGCTTCCCTAAAATTATTATTTCCATAAATATTCTATATTAAAAAGTTTCGCTAAGATTTACTAAATTAAATGTTGACGTTGCTTGTGTAAATGAACTGTATTTTATTTACCGAGGATCATTACTATGAAACATATAATGATTAAACATAATCTATGACGACATTTTTAATTAGATAAATCGATGAGTTTTGTTTTTATAATTAAAATATTTTTATTAGATGGAAATATTTAAAAAGAAAATAATACACAATTACACGTCTCTATTGCTTTACGTTTATTTAATTAATGGCTTTCATTTTTTCTGAAATATGATCATAAATTTTAAAATCTCTTTCTCATATTTCTTTTTTTGATTTTATCATCGCACGTAATAAACATAATCTAACTAAAAATATTCATGTTTATTTCTCACGTGATCAATTCTACAAAATCTCGATCACAGAAGAAAAAAAACCTACGTCTAAAACTTTCTCATATTTATCATATTATTCTCCATCAATAAAATCAATTTCTTAACGTTATTATCATAGAAAAGAAATACAATATAATAAAAATTGAACAATTTATTTTTAGCCAATAATCGATGTCCCCACTTATAACTATAAAATATAGAAAAATACTTATTTAATTAATATTGAACCTGTTTCAAACTCATCTGCCACATATATTTATTCATATGTAAATAAAAACAATACATACTAGAACAAATAACAACTTATTACTTGGTCTTTATGGTAGTTTACTGATCATCTATTTTTTAGTCTCTATATTTATTACGAAACAATTTTCATCTTTAGTACACAGAGTTATTCTAATAATACATCAATCTATCACATTGAAAGATAAAATCATTGCTTTCTGCATCGATATACATAAGAAGAATATAACGCACTCATTGTACACACCCAATCACACACCTTCATTTTGTATTAATAATAATATATCCTTTTCTTTATATACGCATAAACTGACGACTAGAACGTCCTTACAGTACATAAGATAAACGAGAAAAATATTAATATATCCTTGTTAGATAGTGATGTATTCTTCTTCTCTCCAGTCATATATATATATATATGAGAAATTTTTCCTTGCGTTCTCTTCTTTCTTCACACATACGATCGTATCCGTCAAAAATGTCCTTTTGTTTTTCGTTTTTCCACATAAATATATATGTAAGGACGAAAAACAAAAAGAAATTTCATCCGCGAACGTTTCCTGAAGGACGTTCTTCAATTGAACCCACATTTCATTAGAGGATACACACCTCACAATCCTATATATAATCTACTTTTTTAAAACTATATTATTATAATACAGCAAGTTTTCAAATCCTGTAGGCATATCTCTCAACAATGTTCTCTTTATATTTCGATGAATGATATCAAAAAATAAAAATAAAAAGAAATATTTAAAGTTTTATTTTTTTTTTTTATTTACGCTTAAACTGACGACAAGAAGGTCCTTACAGTGTATAAGATAATAGGGAAAAAATAAAGAGATAATAAACTAATAAGAAACAACTAGAGAAAAAAATATAAACACATGAAAACAAAAGAAAAACCACCGAGATAAGAATAGAATATATTACTTAGATCAAGTAGTCGTTTTATTAATCGTATTTCTACAAATGCAATAAATTTGAAATAGATATTTAAATTTCATGAATTGTTTTTAGAAGAATTGTTATCAGACGGAGCTTTGTATTATTTATTTTACTACGATTATAAAATAGATCAAATTATATTTAGTGGCATGAATTATACTCAAATACAATATTTTTTTTCATTTTATCAAAAAAGTCTTTCGTTCATGCTTATATCTAGAATTTTATTTTTGTTTAACTGTATCTGTAATGATATAAAATTACTCAGTGAATCATCGAATATCTTTATTCGTAATAATAATAATATCAATTATCAAATTCCATCATAACTTTCATTGACGACTATTTTTGTCTTCAATTAAAAACTAATCAAGCATTTAAAATTTTCCTCTCTGATTTTTATCCTTTATCTATCGTCATTAGAATTTAGATTTTATCAAGGACAAACGGTGACAGGTAACAAAAATGATTTATTATTCATGCCTACTTGCTATCTATTATCAAAATCTTAATAAGAACAGAAGAGAAAACAAAACTAATATGCAAATACATTTTGCATGGGTTTTAACTTTTTACTGTTCATAAAAGATAATTATCAAAATAACGGTTTGTGGAAAACTACGAAAATAATAATCGATTATTTTTATTATTTAATATATATTGTATTTGAAAATAAAATATAATAAAACATGTACGATGAAAAGCTGTTTAATTCATAGAAGACAGTATATTTGTACATCACACATTTTGATTAAAATCTGTTGGTCATATAATGTTGGTTTCATCAAGAAATATTTTAAAATCAACTTTAGATATTGAATTATAACTTGTTCATTAAAGAGTGTGAGAAAAGAGTTTACTGTATATATTGATAAACTATTTTTGACGAAAATGTATAGCTGTGGCGCTTAGAGATTTATTCGATTTTAGAGCAAAAACTGTAACTAAGAAATGATCAGTTCTTTGTAAATTATAAAACTTTTCACATTGCATCTTTTCCTATAGTTTATTATTTGAATATAATATATGTGATAATCGGTTAGGGAATGTAGTTGAGTTTTGGAATGCCATAAATAAAGAAATTATTTCTATATTTTTAATTTTGAAGAAAAAGAGAATTCAGAATAATTCATAGTTATAGATTAAATTTCATATATGAAAAGTATTTTCTTTTGCTAATAACAAACTCAAATATTGCCTATTTGAATAAATTTAATCAATTTAAGAAAAAAAAGAAATTTAGATTAAAGATAAAATTGATTTATTGATTTTTTAAGTTTGCCATTCATTATGAATATTGTTTTATAAGCAAGACATGCGAGACATTCAGCGATTAGTTGTTTTTTTCGCATAGAAAGTACAGAATTGTTTACATTAAATTATTTTATCATTTAAGGTTTATAGATTTTGTAGCATCTGTTTAGGTGTAATAGATAGAATTTTTAGGGAAAATATATATAAATGAGAAGCGGTCATCTCTCAAACGATTTACACCGAAAGAAAAGAAGAAAAATTTGACAAAAATTTCAGTGTTCTACGATAATTATAAAAGTCCGCAATAGTAATTGCTAGTGACTTTCTTAAAAATATATAAAAAATCAATACACATGACTAACAATAAGACAGATTTATTCTTGTTAGTAATTTAACAATGACAATTATAAATACTTAAGAAAAAGGTGAACTAAAATTTTCTAATCAATGATTCACATTAATCATATCTTGATTTATTTATGTATTATTAGATACAAATTTATAATAAATAATATATATATACTGTCATTTTTACCATATCAATCAATCATATTTATCAAAAGAACGAGCTAGATACAGCAAGAAAAATTTTCTTCTCTTTATATGTATAGATTTTATCTTCAAAACGAAATTTAGGAGGTACTATTCAAAAGTTTGTAATTAGTAATAAGTACACATTGCATAAATAGAATAAATGAGCAATCCTTTTTATATAAATTTAATCTATAACTATAGAAATTCAATTCAGCTCTTTGAAAGAAAAACAAATACTTCAAAAATTTCTTTTTCTTTTTGAAAGAAAGAAATTTCGTGCAATCTATTCCAATCGTCTTTCCCGTAGTTTGATGGTGAGATCGATATTAACCATAGAAAAAAAGGTTTTTGTAAAATAATCTATCTATTAACTTGAAATTCGAATTTATGAATGATAGTATTATATAATAATCCAATATAATTTCAAAGTATCTCTGTGATTTGATGTTTACATATGTAAATATATTATTCAAAGAATGTTTTTATCAATAATGAAATAATAAAAAAAATGAATAAGAATAAATAGCAAGCAGAAGAAAAATGTAAC